CAACCATCTCATCCTCTGTCGTCCCCTTCTCCTCTTGCCTTCACACTTTCCCAGCATCAAGGTCTTTTCCAGGGAGTCTTCTCTTCTCATGAGATGGCCAAAGTATTGGAGCCTCAGCTTCAGGATCTGTCCTTCCAGTGAGCACTCGGGGTTGATTTCCTTTAGAATTGATAGGTTTGTTCTCCTTGCAGTCCAGGGGACTCTCAAGAGCCCCCTCCAGCACCACAGTTCAAAAGCATCAATTCTTCGGCGGTCAGCCATTGTACTCCTGTACCATTGTACAGGAGGCAGCAATAAAAACCATCCCAAAGAAAAGGAAATGCAAGAAAGCAAAGTAGCTGTCCAACGAGGCTTTAGAAATAGCAGAGAAGAAAAGGGAAATGAAATGCAAGGCAGATAAGGAAAGTTACAGAAAACTGAATGCAGACTTCCAAAGAATAGCAATGACAGACAAGGGGATGTTCTTAAATGAACAGTACAAAGATATAGAGGAAAATAATAGAAAGGGAAAAGCCAGAGATCTGTTCAAGAAAATTGGAGATATTAAAGTAACATTTTGTGCAAAGATGGACATGATAAAGGACAAAAATGGGAGGGACCTGACAGAAGCAGAAGACATCAAGAAGAGGTGGCAAGTATACACAGAAGAATTATTCCAGAAAGATCTGAATGTCCTGGACAACCCAGATAGTGTGGTTACTGACCTTGAGCCAGACATCCTGGAGAATGAAGTCAAGTGGGCCTTAGAAAGCTTGGCTAACAACAAAGCCAGTGGAGGTGATGGCATTCGAGTTGAACTATTTAAAATCTTAAAAGATGATGCTGTTAAGGTGCTGCATTCAATATGCCAGCAATTTTGGAAAACTCAACAGTGGCCAGAGGACTAGAAAAGATCAGTCTACATCCCAATCCCAAAGAAGGGCAGTGCCAAAGAATGCTCCAACTACCGTACAATTGCACCCATTTCACACGCTAGCAAGGTTATGCTCAAAATCCTCCAAGGTAGGCTTCAGCAGTACAGTGGTACCTCGACTTGAGAATGTCCCTACATACGACTTGAAAATGGAACTTCGACTTGAAAATGGAGCCTCGATTTAAGAACCAAAAAAGGGGGGAAAAAACTTTCCTGCCCTTTTTTTGACCTAAGTTCATCTTAGGTCAAAAGAAGAACATATTTAACAAATTCACCCCCTAGTGGTAGATACAGATTAACCGGCTTTGCAGTAGTTCCTATGGGAACTAATGCTTCAACTTAAGAACAGCGCCTCGACTTAAGAATGAAAAACATCAGATACGGATTAAATGGTTTTCAGTGCATTCCTATGGGAAATGGTGCTTCGACTTACAAACTTTTCGACTTACGAACGTCCTTCCGGAATGAATTTATAAGTCGCGGGTTGACTGTAGCAGGGCATTACTAAATTAAGTCCTGTTGCTTTCAATGAGTCTATTGCACTTACAGTGGTGCCTCGTAAGATAAAAGCAATTCATTCCACAAGTCCCTTCGTATCACAAAAACAATCGTCTTGCAAAGCGTGGTTTCCCATAGGAATGCATTGAAATTGCCTTCAATGCATTCCTATGAAACACCTTGCAATGCATTCCTATGGGAAATGGTGCTTCGACTTAACTAGTTCTTAGCAGATTGGCCACGTTTTTGTGGCAATTATTAAAGAAAGCCCCTATGCAGGCTTTATGTCTCCATGTGAGAGAAAGAAGCTTATTTCCATATCTTAATTAAAATTTCTATTAATCTCATTTGAAGCTTTGTAACTTCCAAGATGCACACACAGAAAATAATAACATTGTTATTTCTGATAAACACTTGAGACCAATTATTCCATGGGTCTTGTACTGATGAATGACAGCGAGAGATTCTCATTATAAGACAAGACGTTAACAACGGAAAATGAGATTGTATATGTATGTGTAAGTCTCTGGGAAACTAAACAGATAGGCACCAGGAGTTCAGCAAATGCAGTTGGGTTTAGGACTGTTGGGTCAATAGCATCCCGATTTCTGAGATGTCAGGGCCAAAGTCTGGGAGTGGCGGTTTGGGGCTCTGAGTCCACAGTTGATAGTGGAGCAATGTTGTCTTTAAAGTAGCTTAGGAGGGTTGGGAGCAGTAGACATTAAGTGGCCTAGCAGGAGGTGCCTCGGATGGGAATGAGAGGCCAGTAACTTCTGCATCATGTTCTTGAGGGTCCTGTTGAATCACTCCACTAAGCCAGCAGTGTGAGGACGGAAGACGAATGTACGAAGGGAGGCTACACCCAATTGAACCTTCATTTGTTTCACGTTTCCCCCCATAAATCTCATCCTTTGATCCATGTCAGTTTTTTTTTTAGGGAAAACTACTCTCATGAAAAAAAAAGCAAGGTGATGTCTCTGCTTTTTTTAAAAAAAGGAAATAAAAGTAGAGACCTTGCTGACAAAGGTCCACATAGTCAAAGCTATGGTTTTTCCAGTAGCAATGTATCGAAGTGAGAGCTGGACCATAAAGAAGGCTGACCACCAAAGAATTGATGCTTTTGAATTGTGGTGCTGGAGGAGACTCTTGAGTGTCCCTTGGACTGCAAAGAGAACAAAACTATCCATTTTGAAGGAAGTCAACCCTGAGTGCTCACTGGAAGGACAGATCCTGAAGCTGAGACTCCAATATTTTGGCCATCTCATGACAAGAGAAGTCTCCCTAGAAAAGAAAGACCCTGATGTTAGGAAAGTGTGAAGGCAGGAGGCGAAGCGGACAACAGCGGACGAGATGGTTGGACAGTGTCATTGAAGCTACCAACATGAATTTGACCCACTTCTGGGAGGCAGTGGAAGGCAAGAGGACCTGCCGTGCTTTGGTCCATGGGGTCACAAAGAGTCGGACACGACTTATGACTAAACAACAAGCAAACTATATTTCTACATTGACATTACTAGAACTGGACTCCAGAAGGAGGCAGAGATCATCCTGTGTATAACATTTGTTATTAAAATAGCGTTCAGTGTAATCCGTGTTTTTCAGCATCTGTGCAAGGGCTTTGAACCGTATATATAAAAGACGATACTACTGTATTATAATTTTCATAGGTTGTGCTCTCTTCATTTGAAAAATAGCTATTCGCATTTCTTTAAATTGCTATCTACGCTTCCTGAATTTTGAGATGTGTATCAATCGGTTTTGAAAATGTTAGTCTTACAGTGTTTGTCAGCAATCATCTCATTTAATAGGTAAATTTCTCTAACTAATCTACTGTGGATCGATAGTATATGCCATCCTAAACCACACTGCATCTTCTATTTCATGGACTTCATTTTATGGAATATTAATTATGCAATTGATTGCTTCTCAGGAAGGGAGCTGCATGCCCCCTACCACATTTTATGTATGTCATACAAAATGTGTTGGGAATAAATCAATCCAGTTGTTAGTTCCAACCAAAGTGATTTTATGGAACCAGTGGGAGCCTGTTAAGTCAACACTACTACAGTGGGGTCTTGACCTACGAACTTAATCCGTATTGGAAGGTGGTTCTTAGGTCGAAAAGTTCGTAGGTCGAATCTGCATTTCCCGTAGGAATGCATTGAAAACCATAACAATAATGGTAGGTAGGGATGATGATAAATAAGAAGATGAGCTCTGATTAATCAGTCCAACATCTTGCTTTCAATATTAAATAATCCAAATAATTTAATCTGCAAAATCTCAACATAATTTTAACAGAGTTGCTGATTGGTGACTAGCCTTCAATTAGGAAAAGCCTAGATTTCTTCTTTTGGTTCTGCATTTAAAAATCGTCAACCACCTCATTTTTAATCTGTGTCATCTTTCTGTGTCTTCTGGTCAAGTCCAAGTTGTCTATGTGTATAATACCCCTAAACCCTTGGATTTTTACCTCATGTTTTTTTGCTGTTCCATTTTCCTCATTCTGGAAAACCATCCAATCGCTAGTCCTTCCAGCAACATAGTTTTGTCTGTAAATAGAAGTGCCTCTTTAATTCAGCTTACGGACAGAACCAGACATTTACTTTGGAAATTAATGTGTGTATCATTTTAATAAAAAATTAGTACATTGGCCAAGGAAAAGAGTTTGTTTTAAGTTAGGCAGAAAAACAAATAAGTAAATGGAAATCAGAAAAGATTTTTCGTCACTCATTTTTGGGTTTTTATTATTTTTCTTGGAAATAAGTTTTCAAGAATATGGAGGAGTGTAAAGGAAATTCAGGAACATTTGGTTGTGACCTGAGATCATTCAAACATACATAAATGTTGCAATTTTTGAAGACATTCGCTGAAATTTTGTTTAGCATAGGAAGTCAAGACTATCTGAATCAATGGAACCTGTGGAGGAATTGACTCACCAAATCCCTCCTGATTCACTGGGTCTCCTCTGATGCAATTTACTCTTCTAAGTAACTGGATTTCAGCTATTGTTTGCTTAGTTTTCATCTCCCTAATCAGATGCCCAGGGGGAGAAGGAAAAAGAGTGCTTGTACTCTTTGAGAAAAAAGGGTAAAGGGCAGAAGTTATTGTAAAAACAATAATAGGTATATATGTCTGAGAACTGAAATTGACTGATGAGTATTTTAGCTAGTTTTGTTGTACATTTTAATTTAAAATTCAGAATAACATTTAAACTTAAAACATGCAGTTCTGAAGAGTTTTGATAAAATGGAGTTTTGCAACTCCATACCCTCATTTTTGCATCCATCCCCAGTATTTAAATTAGATGGATTTCTTGTGTCCCTAAATTAATATGAAGCATGAAAGTTTTCCTGTTGAATTGCATGCGGTTTAAATGTGATTAAGCTAGGCAGAATCGCATTTTCAGTGTTTATATTTTGTAACCAAAGAACATCTTTCTTTTACCTTCCTCATCTTATCATTTATCCTATTTTATTTCAGGAACAGAGTTGCTCATATTTTTGGAGAAAATAAGGACAGTTATTTCAGATTCTGAACTGGCAACAGGTGTCTACCATTCTGCTGCAGTTCCTGGACTTGCTCAATATCTCCAAAGCCTCACTAAACTCTTCATCTCTGTGTATTCAATGACCACAGATTCTGGATTTACAAACAGCAGTTCAATTGGCAAAGAGAAGAGAGTGGATTCTTGTTTGCCAGTTGCACAATTGCTATGTTCTGACTTCTATGAAGTGCGTTTATTGGCTTTAGATGCAACCCTGAAGTGGTTGAAACAAATGAATTCTAAACACGGGGAAGAAGGAGGAAAAAGTTTCTTATGTCTACTGTCTGGTTTGGAAGAGATCCTCCTCAGGATAGCTGTACAGGAAAAGCAACCAGAATGTTTTTGCAAGGTGATGATTTGTAGCCCCTCCCCACATTGATTGAAGATTGAATGGATCCAACTGGGACCAAAAGTCTGACTTTTCTGTTTATTACTGTCATAGGTGTTAGAAGCTTTATATTGTATGGACCTCAACAGTGTGCTTCCAAAGATAGAAGATACTATAAAAATGAATCTGAGAGATTTTTTGCAGTGGGTTATGGATATTATAGATACTTCTGAAAGGTATGCTCTTGTTTGTTTTAATATTTTAAATAATAATTACATGCTATGGAGAAATTGAGAATTTATGGGATATGAAATATGGAATTTAGTTGCTGGATACTTTGATGCTTCTGCGAGTACCTGGGAAGTTGGCCAGAAAGGCAGAGGTTAATGTGTAAAAGGAAAATCCACACCTTCAACTTACCTCCTGTTATTGAACACTTCAAAGAAAAGTCTTCTCTGCTCACTTAAAAGAAAGAGTTGAGATAGGAACTGACCCTTATCAGATGACATATCAAAGCAACCCTGTAAGGACACTTAACACTTTAACTTGAAGGGATTTGTTTTGCTTCCTTCCCAGAGAGTTGGTAGTGGGAAAGGCAGCAGGTCAGAAAGCTTCCTTATATCCTGACAAACATAAAAGGGGCTTAAGATGTTGTTGGCAACTGATATGTAATGTTACTTGTATAAAAGGGATTAAGAAACAGTAGTTAGTCAGCCTAGCATGTCTCTGAGGAGAAAAGTGCTTTGCTCCTCTTTCTTCTGAAATACCCAGAAGGGACTAGTTTGACTCTTAATAGGAAACTGTGTCCATTTCCATCCTATGAAACCATGCCAGAAGGATGCATTCTGTGCATATCCCAGAACTATTCTGCCTATCCGCCAAGAGGTGAATAATAAATAGGGGAGAGCAGTTATTTTCTGGTTTGTTTCTCTTTAATGCTGGTAAGTCTGTTTCCGCATTTGCTCTTGTATTTTGAAAAATATTTTCTTGTAATCATTTGAAACTTTTACCATTTAGTCCTTTTGACTTGGTTCCCTCGCCCCCCTTTCTTTCTTTCTTTCTTTCTTTCTTTCTTTCTTTCTTTCTTTCTTTCTTTCTTTCTTTCTTTCTTTCTTTCTTTCTTTCCTTCCTTCCTTCCTTCCTTCCTTCCTCCCTCCCTCCCTCCCTCCCTCCCTCCCTTGACCATGCTAGGTAGGTTTGTTGTGAATTATAGGCAGAAACATCTGCATGCCAAAGGTTTCTCACCCCTGCTCTGTATACGCCAAAGCATTTTGTCCATATTTTTCCACCTTGGCCATTGGCTGTTAACAACTTCCTCAACTTATTCAACATTTTCAGAGCAACACTAATAAACAGGCAGTAATTGGCGTTATGAACAGGTCCAGGAAACAGAGGAGAGTCATTGGAAATGCATTCATTCACTCTTATACTAAAAAAAATCCATAGTTGCATAGATGTTTATGGCCAATTTATAGAGCGATTTTTATGCATATCTTGACCACAACCAGGACTTGATGTACTTTAATACAGTTTTATGTCCTTAAGGCACAACCTCTTCATGCCAAAGCAAAACAATTCTTTATTTGGTTGTATATTCAGGTGGAGAGCAACCGCAGCTAGGTTCAATTTCATCCTGGCTTCAGTTAACAAAGCATAAGATTTATAACAAGTGGTAAAGAGGTATTTTACTGCTATACTGATTGCCAGTTGATCTAGAGATCAAAGTTACATCAATATGTATTTGACATTTAACTTTGTATGTCGATGTAATTATTTTTATTTTATTTCTTCAGCATTGAAATTCAAAGTGTATCCCTTAAGCTTGCCTCAAAATTGGTCATCCATCTTGTACAGAACTGGCAAGAGGTAAGGAATGTAGTTTACCACTAATGTTTGTTTCAGAATTGCTATGATTTTAAAAAGACTACCTAGTTTGTAGAGTGACCTTACAGTACTTACTTTCTTCTGATGGACAAGTAAAGTTTTTTTTTCTTTATATATGCAAAACCTGGGGTTACGATGCAGATTACATCAGTGTTAAGTTTCGGTTAAAAATACAGGGATCTGGGTTTCCTTTTCTGTATAGAATGAGTTCTGTGGAAACCATAGACCTGAATGTCATATTTTGTATATATTATATATTTTTGAAATGTTAAAATGTGAGAAAAAAACACATATCAGTAAATTGATTGAACCTTCATTTTAGATGTTTACTGCATTATTCTAAGAGTTCACTATCAGGATGCTTCAGGCTTCTGATGATCACTTTTAACTGTCTTTTAGGACATGAAATTACTGATAAAGGAATGGGTTGACCTAGTCACTTCTTGTTGTGGGGATGAGCAGCAGACAGATCTCAGATTGGCTATAGCGGAGATTCTTGTGAGCGTTACTCCTGTTTTCCTGACCAGTCAGAAACTTCTCTTGGGTAAATAATTATTCTAAATTAAGCACTGTCAGCACATATAAGCCAGAGTTAAGCACGACTCTTATTGATTTAAATATGAGAATAAAACACATTCTAGATGCCTACACCAAAAAGGGCAGAATTTATACTTAATTTTGACTTAATGGCTCCCTTTGTTACATGAAAGTTGATGAAAGCAGGAAGAGATCATGGCAAACATTCTGTTGCTTAAAGTAGTAAACCACACTTGACGAGGCCTATTGAATTAATTTTGAAGTTTTCATGACCCAAATAAGGTCAGGAAAATGACTCTGAGGGCCAGACTAAGAGAATCTCTGGTCTCTCTGCCAAAAGAAAACAGATGGCGGTGATGTTTATGGCTAAGACAACCAAACGTTTCTTCTACATCATTCCACAGCATTATAGGCTTATCATTCAGTTTCAGTGCTTGCCTTCAAAAAGGCCTATGTAACAAGTAGCACCATTATAATATTAGACTGTGTTTAACAGATGCTTCTCTTTACCTTGTGTAGTGCAGTGTGAATTACTTGAACCACTATATTGAAACCCGAAGAGAATATATCCGAATGCCTTCTCGGAACTTGAGATTTCCAGAAAGTCTTTTGATAGTATCTTAGTTTGCTTCATATAAGAATATTAGTTATTTCCAGATATATGTTTTGTTTTGTTTTGAAACCCCTTTTTGTAAATGCACAGATCTTTCTGACACAATGCTCCTCTGGAAGTGTGTTGTTCAGCTGTTACAGAGTGAAGAACAGATAATAAGGGATACGGTTGCTGGTGTTATAAGACTCGCCCAGTCTCAAGGAAGTATGCTTAGGAAAACAGGTATGTAATTCTCCTTATCCACTTATCTATCTTTGTGAAAAGCATTGGGGGCAAATACGTAACAGTGTTTTCAAGCTGGTGCTTTATATCCAGAACATGGTCAGAAAGCAGTTCTTGTGATCTCTTTCTTCTCCTTCTCGCCACTGTGATTCCACATATCATCAAGAACCCCATTCAGAGGTTTTGTGGGAGTACAGTCGTGCCCCACTGGACAATTACCCCACTCTACGACGAATCCTCTTAACATTGAAGTTTTTACGATCACTTTTGCGATCGCAAAACGATGTTTAGATGGGCTTTTTCGCTTAGCGATTATTGGTTCCCTGCTTCGGGAACCGATTTTTCACTTTACAACGATCAGCAAACAGCTGATCGTCGGGGTTCAAACTGGCAACCAGCTAAAGAAAATGGCTCCCTGCTGTGTTAGGGACGGATTCCTCGCATTACAGGCACCAAAAAATGGCCGCTGTATGGAGGATCTTCGCTGGACGAGCAGGTATTCAGCCCATTGGAACGCATTGAACGGTTTTCAATGCGTTTCAATGGGTTTTTTTTTATTTCGTTTGACGACGATTTCGCTCTACAGCAATTTTGCTGGAACGAATTAACGTCGTCAAGCGAGGCACCACTGTATTCCTGAACAGCCAAGGCTGTAGTTGGAGAGGGCAAATCGCCCCAAATTAGGCAATGGTTTTTGTGCTGACACAGCTCCCTGTGGAGCTACATTCCTCTGCTAGATTTAGAATAGCCAAGGCTGTAGCTGGAGAGGGCAAATCGCTCCAAAATAGGCAATTGTTCTTGTGCTGACACAGGTCTCTGTGGAGCTACATTCCTCTGCTAGATTTAAGTTGATTGTCCCCTTTCACGCCGGTCCCAACAGCACACGGATCAGTGCTTCTGAAAGGGTGGTGGGACTGAGAGCAAAGCCTCTCCTGATGATCTTAAAACCCGGGCAGGGTCATAAAGGGAGATGCCGTCTTTGAAATAGCTTGGACCCAAGCCATTTAGGGCTTTATAGGTTAAAACCAGCACTTTGAACTGTGCTCAGAAACCGATTGGCATCCAGTGGAACTGCTGTAACACAGGAGTTACATATTCCCTGTAATCAACCCCAGTCAGCAATCTAGCTGCAGCATTTTGCACCCTCTGGAGTTTCCGAACACTTTCCAGTTCAATATCGTGCTGTAATAGCTTTCCATATTTTTCAAATAATTTGGATTTTAAACGTAGAATATATGCACCCTGGCTGGTAAGGGCGAATTCAAGTGTTAATAATGTTTTTGTTTATCTAGAACGCATTCTGTCATGTCAAAGGAAACAGTGTAACTTTGCTGTAAAAATAATGAATTCACATGTGATTAGTTGCTAACATTTTTTAAAAACAAACCAGGCCAGGTTCATAATTCACCACAAAAAGTGCCTAATTAAGAGTGAGGTGGATTACTGTGGTACTTGTTTACAAACAATAATGTTTTTACTAATAGCTTTTTTTTTGGTCCAGCATGTTTCTGTGACATGTTTTATTGCTAGTGCATTCACTGAAGTGTAAACCTGTGTAGGATTCTTCTGTTTCAAAATTCCTTTTAATGTTTGGGAGTACACTTGAAATGTTGCTACAGCCAGCCCAGTTCCTGTTGTTCAGTGTTCCAGTCAGTCATCCATGCCGGTGCCATTCTCTGCAATGCTCTATTGCATTTCCCCCACCTGCTTGATTTTTCCATTTCTCCACCCCACCCCAACACTCATGTCAGCCTCTCATGGCTACTTAAGCAATCTGCAGTCAGCCCCAAGCCTTATTTTGACCCATAGTCAGGGGAATATGCTGTTAATTTGAAAGTATATCTTGGTATTTTTAAAAACATTTGAACATTCAATTGTCTCCTTTCAATAAAAAAATTCTTGGAATATTAAGCAACATTTCAATAATAAAACATTGTGAGCTTTCACAGGTAGATCTTGCATCCTTGTATAAAAGGAGACCTGTTTAGTTATTGGACAACACACTGATAAAGCAGTGAAGTAACTTCAGTGCCCTGTGGCTTGTGCACTTATGAAGCTAGTCCCAACACACTGTTCCCTATGCTGTTCATAGGAATTTAGTAATATGCCTCTGGGTTCTCTAAACTCATTGTACCGCTGGTCTTTGTAGACAGGATCTCCCACCATAACCCACATGATCTGGTGGGGCCACTGTGAGATACAGGAAGCTGGACTAGATGGGCCCTTGGCCTGATCCAGCGGGGCTCTTCTTAACGTTCTTAGCAGATTTCCTCTTTCTTTCACGCCTAGTCCACATTAAGAACAGAAACTGATACTGTCCTGAACCTTAACGGTTGTCCGTAAATGTCTCTGCACTCATGATGGTATTAATATCAGTGGTGTGTGGTCTGGCCCATAAAATAATTTTATGGCCAAACGCCATAAAACAGCCCAACCAGCCTCACTCTCCTAAGCTTGGTATATAGAGGGTGGCATATTACTTGCTTTTGCCTTTCGTTGTATTGCAGCCGTCTCCGGGATCCTGATTTGAGGAAACACTGATGGCCAAGCTTCAGGTCCAGGAAATACTTACGTTTTTAGAAAGAGAGACATTGTATTTTAAAACTGCCTAGAAACACTGTTATTAATTTTAAAAGCTCTTACATGGAATTGTTTTTAGTCATTCAGTAGTGATGAAAATACAATAAATCTGTTTATTCAGTTGATTCAAGGTAAATAGAAGTCATTATAATTACACACCTGCTACTTTGTGCCCTGGCCTGTTATAGATCTGTTAATGGCTGTAGCAGGCTAGTGGAAGTTAGATGTCTGAAGTCTTCTGTGAGCAGATCTTCCTTTTGGATGATGTGTGGGAGGATGTAGCATTGATCTTAAAATGAAGTAAGGAGGACCAATAACTACTGAGTGCTTGCTAAGCACATAGTCTTCCAGATCCATCATACAGTACTTTCTCCGACATGAAAACTTTTGAGCTCAGTGGACCTTAACTTCATAGTATATTCAAGAGTTCAGTTTTCATTGGCTGTAATATTAGAGACAAAACGTGATCGGGGTGCCTCATCCCCAACAGCTGCATGGCATAGCCCCATGTGACCCAGCATCTGCAGGGCTTTTCCTCTGCCAAAAAGAATAGAGGTGACTGGCACATAAACCTATTGGCCACATACTTTGGTAGGAATGGATCCCCTCCTCTCCCATTTTGTGAACCAAACAAATGTATAATGGCACAATTAGACATTATGATGGTGGCTGTGAAGCCTTAGACCGCATTGCGGCTGTCGATCCATCTCTGGATTTCTCTTCAGGCACTTTTTTTCCTCAGTACCTACCTACCTAAAAAGTTTATTTTTAAAATCCAGGGTGCTGTGTATTTGCTTTTTTTCTCATTGTTGCTGGCTTTTAATACTTTTTAGAACAATTTTAAATAGCTTTTATCCAGTAGTTTTGAATTTGATACCTGTTTAATTCTTTTTCATTTAATAATTTACTTGTTCTTCATCGTGGTCTTCTGTGAATGCACACAAAGGGTTAATACCAGCGCCAGCGTTGGGCCTCTCGGAACGTTTTCTAGCTGCAAGAGAAAAGTAACAATGTTTAGGACTACCCCTACTGCGCACGCCCAGCCTAACCGTCCCTCAGTTCCACCCCCGCATAGCAAGGTTAATTTGTTCCGGATTAACCTTCGGTATGGGGAAACATCGCTATACGGAACGGAAAAGCCCATTCCAAATGGGCACAAAACTCACCGTTCTGCCATGTTTCCCCCATCCGGCCGCCATTTTCGCGCCCTCGGTAAGCGAGGGCAGGGCGCGAAAATGCTGCGTGTGGCCATTTCGGTTGTCCAGCGGCCATTTTGTAACCGCTGAACAGTTGATTGAAAAAATAGCTAAGCGAAAATCGGTAAGCGAAACACTTACCGAATTATACGGTGCGCTCGTTAAGCGATGCACCACTGTATTTTAAACGGATGGATGGATGGATGGATTTGAATTGCTTGGGACCCAGTCACAAAATGAGTACAGTGGTGCGTCGCTTAACAGGGATAATCCGTTCCAGCGAAATCACTGTAGAATGAAATCCTTGTTAAGCGAAATAAAAAAGCCCATTGAAACGCATTGAAAACCCTTCAATGCGTTCCAATGGGCTGAAAACTCACCGTCCAGCGAAGATCCTCCATAGGGACGGCCATTTTCACTGCCTGTAAAGCAAGGAATCTGTCCTAGAAAATAGCAGGGGACCATTTTGTACACCCGGCGGCCATTTTGAAACTCGACGATCACCTGTTTTTAGATCGTCGTAATGCGAAAATCGGTTCCCGAGGCAAGTAACCGATCATCATGAAGCGGATTTTTCCCATTTAAACCATCGTTTTGCAATCACTTTTGTGATTGCAAAAAGCTAATCATCAAGCGATTTCCTCATTAAGCGAGGCAATCATTAAGCGAGGCACCACTGTAGATCCTATGTGTAGAAAGATAATGTAGGAAAATACTATATAATCTCACGTCAATATGTATATTGGTATGTTTCAAAGAGAGTGGTGATGTGAAATATGCTTTTCTTTTAGATACCAGCCAGTTTCTAATAGGGTGGGGGGAAGAATATAAGGGCACCTTTCATTTCAGCGACCAGTTTAAGACCTGGTAAGAAATATGAATGCTGAAGACACCAGTTTTGCTAATGTTACAAAAGAAATTAGATCCGAGACAAGAAAAAAATAAATAGTGTCTACATTGTCTTACTATTACAGGAGTTGTTGTGCTAATCTCTGATATATAATACTCTATATTTGTAACTCACAAAGAGAGCATAGAAAAACACAGATTTCACTAGAGGAGTGATGAATCAATAAGTAAACTAAAAATATAATAGATGATGGATGCTGGAGGTCACAGTTAAAAGATTCTGGTGTTCAGTTACTTCTTCTGAAACGTAAAAAATAAATCAGTGCTAGAAGACAGCTGGAAGTTTGGAAATCACACTTCCTACACATGACTTGA